CATGCTCCACATATGGGTCACCAACCGGCCATAGGTCATTTAGTCCTGGACTGGACAGCTTAAATCCTTACTCTAGTATAAAAATGTTTGTTTCCTATTATTTTATTTTGACAAATTGGTATACAGTAGCTGTAGTGGAATTTAAAGAAGTACAACATATATTCACATTAGAGCAAATTATTTCTGACAGACACAGAGCTGAGCTTAAACTGTAGCATCTCACAAACTGTTAGCATAACAATTACTTTCAAAAAAATTGTATTTTGACCACAGATCTGATTTTTTTTGCTAGACTCAAATCCACACCCCCAAGAACATATTGTTTTCTTCTTCATAACTTGTTCTCTGTAATGAATACATCAGGCTGCTTCAGTTTTGGAGTCCAGACATCGTGTCTACTGCCCTCTTCATCACAGTGTCATGGCTCAGTGGAACACATTAATGGAATTGAGGCCTTGGTAATTATGGGTAACATCAGTGTTTCCTTTTAGCGACAAGTTCAAATATCAGCCGTGTAAAWAAAAGAAAAGGCAATGCATTAACAGGGAAAGGTTATTGTAGTTTAAAAAATGATTGGAAACCAGGATTCAGTTAGATAATAGTTGTAATTGTTGTTTCAGCTTCTTTGTGTATTGCCTCTCAATTGTCCAAGTGAAAAAGGGGCTGCCTTAATTTAAAACTACATGTTTATCTGTCACATTAGCTCAGATCCAGAGTATTTTCACCATTATAATGCCACTGATATTTGTGCACAAAATGCTCTTTTTCATATCCTTGTCCGAAATGTGGTAAATATCAGTGATTTTGTAATAAATTAACAGATCCAGCTAACAAATAGAACATTATATAAGAGATGAAACAATGTTCAAGGAAAAGTTTGGCCATGTAAAATGGGTGTAAAATGAAAAATAATTTTCCATTGTTAGTTAGCTTCTTAAGAATTGTCTCAGTTTGGAGAAACATAAAATTTAGGATTAATGAGTTAACAGCTGTTTGACAGCAGCTAAAAACAAAAAAGGCTTGGATCTGACAAACAACTCACATTTTTACTGATTCATGCAAAAACTATTTTATAATCCTTTACATAATGGTGTTTACATAGAATTTTATGTTATAGTTTTACAAGTTTTATAAGCATCCACATTGACWAGTAGCATTTCAAAGACACCCATGGTAGGGATGGACATATTGGGCCTCATGCAAGAACCGTTCGTACGCACAGATTTGTTCTTAAGTTGTGCGTACGAGTGATTTAGGAGAATTTGTGGCATTCACCA